TCTGTCAGAAAAATTCCCATGCCTGCTTTTCAAGGTGAATAGTTATAAAAGCAATTCTATTATGCACAATCATGAAGGAAAAGTTTTGAGGAGAGTTAGCTACTTATCCATATTCCTGAGTACCAAGTACCAGGTAGTTAGTTGCGGGCATGTGACTTACTTTACCACCAAGTACTGAGCATCAAGTGCCGACCACTGAGTACCAAGTACCAAGTATTAGGCATAAAGTATGAAGTATTCCAGCCAATTTACATTGCAAAAGAGTTTCCTGAGGCCAACTAATGCAATTAGTTAGTCGCGGGTATGTGACTTACTCAACCACTGAGTACCAAGCATCAAGTACCAACTACTAAGTACCAAGTACCAGGTATTAGGCATAGAGTATCAAGTATTCCAACCAATTTACATTGCAAAAGAGCCTAAACTTCATTTCCTGAGGCCAAGCAATGCAATTAGTTAGTTGCGGGCATGTGACTTACTCAACCACCAAGTACTGAGCATCAAGTACTGACCACCAAGTATCAAGTACCAAGTATTAGGTATGGAGTATCAAGTATTCCAACCAATTTACATTGCAAAAGAGCCTAAACTTCATTTCCTGAGGCCAAGCAATGCAATTAGTTAGTTGCGGGCATGTGACTTACTCAACCACCAAGTACTGAGCATCAAGTACTGACCACCAAGTATCAAGTACCAAGTATTAGGTATGGAGTATCAAGTATTCCAACCAATTTACATTGAAAAAGAGCCTTAACTTCATTTGCTCAGGCCAACCAATGCAATTAGTTAGTTGCAGGTATGTGACTTACTCAACCACCGAGTACCAAGCATCAAGTACCAACCAACATTCCGTCAAGTCTACCAAGTAGCGTATATCTTTTATTTACATGTCCATTGCATAATATTGTGAATAGGGATCCGCACCGTAACCGTAAGTTACGGTTTACGGTACGGTTATACGGGTACCCGTAACCGTACCGTAAAGGGTATGCTCGGACACTTTTTACGGCCGTATTTATACAGTTGCTATACGGGTACCCCGTACAGCAAGAATTCGGCAAGCAGCTATATGTCAGTGGGTCCCAAAATGCTCAAATTAATGGTTTTTGCATAAGTGATATTGGCCGGGACTCTGTAACTTGAGATCTAACGGGCCGTATACCGTATTTCTACGGTATACAGGTGCCAGAAGCCGTACCGTATACCGTACCGTAAAGAAGAAATTTTGCAAATTTTACGGCCGTTTTTATACGGCCGTAACCATATACGGTACGGTGCGGATCCCTAATTGTGAATCATAGTGTTACAAACACTTTATCTTATCTCATGCCACATGGACTATTACTTATCTGTTTCTTCTATTTGTCTTCATATATCTCGGCGCTTACTTAAGCGCGTGCTCGTTTAGGCGCGTGGCTGTGTTGTTTACTTATGTTTCATTCTTTATAGTTCATCGGACACATGTACAATCTTGTATGATCGTTTGATCCTTGATCATAGGCCTTGATCATTCAATCACTTCGATCACACCTCATGCTAGGATGCTGCATTCGGTACTGGATACACATGTACAATCACTTATTACTTACAGACGTCGATACTGTTGTACTTCATAGTTTCATGCACTGTTACAGTATGTACAGGGCATAGGGTTCTGGGTCTAGGGCTTGTACACTAGTATATATAGTAGTTGTAGCTGTAGCATAGCCCTTAGCTTCAATCTCGTCAATACCTCCTAGTTCTCAATATCATCTTCTCTTTTCCTCATCGTTCTTGTCTTTGCCTAAGTCGGAAGTCGTGACGCCTGGTACCTCGTGTTGTGGGGAACTAGTCGCTGACACATAGTAGTCAAATAGAGCTCTCATTTAATACTCTTCATTTTGCATCTTAACTCCCCAGAAAGTATATATAGGCAATGACATGCCAAGCCCATATGCTCAGTAAGCATACTGCAGATTGCATGCTCACTAGCAAGCAACGGGAAGTATTGTATTATCGGAATTCCGCCAGACGGAGTTCTGTCGGAGTACTAATCATGTGAAACAGCCCTCACAAGTTGTATAAAGATGAGGTAGATTAAGTACTGCTGTCCATCAACGTGCGAAGCCTCGAGACCTATTGGAGCATGATGCATATTTCCAGAATTAGCCAGGAATAACAAGATCCTGGCAGCTCTATTTCTGGAAATTCATCATGCTCCGACATGTCTCGAGGCTTTGTATGTCAATTCACGGGCACTTAAATTTCATTACAGTGTCAAGCCTGTTTCTGGTTAATATTCCTTGGTCTCTACATTTAACATCATTGTAGAAATACAATAGAGCTCTCATTTAAAACTCTTCATTCTACATCTTAACTCTAGGACCTCTGAACCAAACAAAGTCAAACTACCAAGAAATCGGTAGACTCTATACAGCTCTTTTTCAAGAACTTGCTTAAAAAGTCCATTCAAGGATGATTCCAAAGTGGTTTTTCAAGGGCTAAAGAGCATAAAATCCATTTCCTGAGGCCAACTAATGCAATATTAACTAATGAGTAGTTAGTTGGAGGCATCTGAGGTTACTCAACCACCAAGTACCAAGTACTCCCATCACTATACATTGCCAAGGAGCCTAAAATTCATTTTCTGAGGCCAACTAATGCAATATTGACTAACAAGTAGTTATTGAGTAACTAAAAGGAATCTCTACAGCCTGATAGCTCAGTGGTTTAGAGCATCTGAAAAGTATATGCTTGCTTTAATGTGCTAGTCAGAACAGTGCTGGTTCGATTCCAGCTTATCCTTATTACACCCTGAGAACCCATGTACTTCCTCCTTGTCACTGTCTGGGTACCTTGAGCTCACTGTCTATTCTCTGAGCTCACTGTCTACTCTCTGAGCTCACTGTCTGGTAATCTTAACCCCTACTATATTGTTTATTACCCCTCTTATGCTTGTCACTGCCCATACTTTGCTGCTCACTGTTCATGTTGAGCTCACCACTGTCCCTCCTATGCTTGTCACTGCTCACATCCTGCTGCTCACTGCCCCAGAGTCTTTGTCCACTGTCTACAGCTTGCTCCTCCCTACTCATAGTGAGCTTATCACTATCAACACCCAAGCTCACTGTCTATGAACTCCTGCTTACTGTTTATGAACTCTTGCTCACTGTCTATAAGGTCCTTGTCACTATCTGAATATCTTTACTGATTATGAATGTAGTATTCATTACCATGGGCAATAATAACCTCAAGACTATTTTTGTTCAAAATGTTCCAGATTTTTGAACAATAATAAAGGATACCAGGAAACTTATTACTATTGAAAATATGTTGAACACTATCTACAGTATGCTCATCATACTCATCACTGTTCAATGTGTTTTCACTGAGTGCTTATTAATATCTGTGGTCTAGTCATCTAGTATGTTCCTCACTATAGACAGGGTGCTCATTGCTGCGAACAGTGTGCTCATCACTGTAATCAGTGTGTTCATTACTGTGATCAATGTGTCTATCACTATGACTAGTGTGCTCATCACTGTGAGCAGTGTACTCATCACTGCAAATAGTGTGCTTGTCACTGTGAACAGTGTGCTTATCACTATGAGTAGTGTGCTCATCACTGTGAGCAGTATACTCATCACTGTGGAAAGTATGTTCATATCTGTTCATAATGAACTTAACACTGTTTTTGTTCAGAAACTTACTCATTTCTGAACAATAGTTAACAGTAACACTATGTATCTTTCATGTGGAATTAGATGTTTTCTGGTTTGATTGAGTTGAAATAAACTTACTGTTGATTAAAAGTATAGTGGTACCCAATACAGTTATTTCTGTATGTATGGTGTTAACAGTAGGATACAGAAGCAAACCCCCAGGCAAAAACTTTTGGAGAAATTGGGCAATAACTTGGGCCGGTGATTGATTTAAGCAAATATTTTTTCGCAGCCAAGCTACGTGCATTGTAGCATTATGCCCAAATTTTTTCAGATTTTTTTGAGCATATCTAACATGTTAATAAAGTTATTACTGCTGTTCATGAAAAAGTGCCCAAAACCCCCAGGCAAAAATATCACATGTGATCACTGAATGGACCCACAAAATTGCTCTTCCAACTTGCTGAATGTGTTCTCAATCCTTGACTGCTTTTCTATGAGCTCGCAGCCCAATCATAGGATGAAGAAAAAGAAGGTGGGATTATGAGGGGGGAGGAGGAGGAGATAGAATATAACATACAGAAGCATCACCTTTTGCACTCATTGTATGATACTTACTCTGCCAAGCATCAGAGGGCATATGGTACACAAATACTTGGCCATAGAGCTTCTTAATCATGCTACATCTCCATATTTTTTGATTTTTGTGGTAATTTTTCATTGTTTTATTTTTTTTTGGGTGCATAATATATTGTATATATCTTGAGTATATTACAGCCTTAAAGTAGACACATTGTAGATATTATATTCAAAAAACAGAGGTCTAAAACCTGCTCAAAGCTGCTGTAGAATCAATTTTTTCGCGTGGGAGTATTTTTTGCCTGGGGGTTTGTCTCTGTATATGAATATGCATCTTGTGTTCAGAAAACCACTTTGCTTCTCTCTCCAGAGGCTGAAGTTGAGAGACAAGCATTGGAAACCTATTCGTCACCAAAACTATTACCTCAAAAAACATTTTTTCATGTTGAGATCCCTGTGACTTTCCAATGCTTTGTGGTCTGGTCATCACTTTGGACAGGCTACTCATTACTGTGGAAAGTATGCTCATCACTTACCATATGCAGAAATTAATGAGAATCAAGATAAGCAGTAACAACAAGGTTGTTTGAAAACAAGTCCTACTCATTGAAAGACAGGAATCAGGTTCATATTCCTAGCAACTTTGTACCAGATTCCAAATTGCATCCGAGCTCTGCAGCTCCAAGCCAAGTCATGATGAACATACAGGATGCTGCTTATGGTCTATGATATAGTGTGGGAGGATCTGGTCAGAAATATTAGAGAAGGGGACTTCATCACTGAATATCTGTATGTAGATTGATTGTCACTATCAGCAGAACTTGAAAATTAAGCTAAACAAATAGCTCACTTCCCAAATTATCAGACCTAAACTATATACATCAGATACTATGGTCTCAGGATTGCCATCAAGACATTCCAGAGCCATCCATTGTAGTGTCCCTCATGCTCCATCAACCTTTATAGAATGCCCTGATTGACTGCGCATATCATCAATAGCTTGAGAAAGACCAAAATCAGCCACAAGTGCATTATGGCTGGAGCCACAAAGAGTAAGGCTAATCTGGAAAAAGTATTATCATCAAGTATGCATGTACCCCTTTGAGATCTGTGTGTACAATATCCATACTGTGAAGATAGGTCATACCTGCAACAATGCCATATGCCTTGAGACAGAGATAAATTAACAATGCTCTGTAGAAGCTGAACAGGTCATATACTAAATCAATCCTATTCATGTCTGGATTGTCATATAGATACTGGCATAAATTGCTAAAACAACAGTACTGCATTACAAGGAATGGCTGCAGTAATGAGATATAAGAGCTTAATCAACCATACAGGTAAAAAACTTCACACTATTTCTGCCTCCAAGCAAATACCATATAGATTGAAGATATTGGGATGATGTAAAGTCATCCCGGAAGATATTAGTGGTTAGTAAGAGTATGTTCATTGTAGTAGACAGTTTCAACATGCCATATTTCAACCTCCTTGTACATTGGCTACTAGTATTTAAACTAATTGAAAGGTTGACTCAGATTTGAAGTCAGAACTCACTAGTCTGTCTCTCTCTATGAGTGCTCATACATTGTTAATATACATCTGTTTGATTGCAACAAGCTTTGCCACTGTCAGTCAACTGATACTCCAGGGAAGAACTGGATAGCACATACAGCTGTGTTCCACTGTCCTCTAAAGACTTGTCCAAAAGAGCCCTGACCTATGATATTTGCAGTATCAAAGTCAACCTCAAGGCTAGTGACAATCCAATCTTCTGATATTGTTTGTGGGTAGCCTTGAGACATACACTGAATAGCAGTGCCTGCATTTCAAAGAAACTTGGCTTCCAGAGACTGCTCCAAACCAAGATATTTGACATACTATCATTGATTTCACAAGGACAATTAGAAGATTGAAGATTGTAGCACAAAAGACTTACTTTGTAAACTGCTATAAGAAGCTCCTCCATCCTCCTTTGCAACCCTCCATGATCCTGCAAAGTATCCAAGATACGCTGGTCACTTGCTAACAATTGGTCAAGTTTGGCCACTAGTTCAGTATGGTCTTGTTCATAAGTGAGCCACATATCCTGCTGGAATTTATCTGCATTGGTATATGCAATGAACTAGAGCACAATCTAGTATGAGTCCAAGGTGTAGATGAAGGTTACTGTAAGTACTTACATTGAAAACCTCAAATGTACTTGTTATTTGACTCAATGTCTAGGATTTGACTATTGATATTGTCCATGTTCATTATACACTACAAGAATCCTTTTTTTTGAGTTTCTCAAGGACATCCTTGACTGCTTGGCAGGTTCTGAGCAATAACAATCAGCTGCAGAAGCAATAAAAGTTAGTGACCCTTAGCTTACTCCTGCAAGTCATCAACCCCTGTCTGCAAAGCAGGTGATAGAGACTTGTTTGATTCAACAGAGAGATATTGTGCAAGCTTCTCAACAAGGTAATAACAATGATCCAGAAGAATACAAATTTGAGTCTTTCATGCGTGGACACTACCATGGATGTTGTAGGCACTTTTCAAATGTTCCATGCCCCACAGAAGACTTTTGGGAGTGCAATAGCACCAAAAAGTTCAGTCATATCAAGACAAGATGGAGACAAAGGAGAAGGATATTCACTGTATTGTAATCAATGAGAATAGTTGCAATGAAACTATGTGATGTGTGAATGTGCTAAGTCTCTTGAGTGCTATGTAGACTGCCCATCTTCCACAGGTGCCATGGGTGCAGTTAAAATTTAGTGCATCACTAGTATTGTTTTGAGGCAATGTATAGTAAATGTATGCATACATAGTCTCAGAAAAGACCTAGCATCCTAAATTTTTTTAAAACTGAATCATTGAAGAAAGATGGAAGGATTGTTGAGTTAAGAATAAGAAGACTGGACTTTGTTTCTTCAAGTTCTACACTCTAAGGTCCCAACTATTGTTTAGTTGATTCATACACCACACACCTCCAACAATGGTCCACCATCCTCCTCCTACACCTATACATCTTCAGACTTTTACTAGCAATGATTGAGCGCTGAGGTCATCCAGTCTAAGAAGAAAACAAGCGCCGTATTCAAGTGCTGGAAATTGATTCCAAATTGATGCACCCTTTCTTTTCCTCTTCCACACAAATGGCATGCACCTAATGTATTGCTAAACAATTTTTTATTTCCTCTTGAATTCCTTATGAATTGCTAATCACCATTAAAGACTCTGGATTTTGAACATGCTTTGATACTCATTCATGCTGAATCAGAGTGAATAATACAAGCACTCAAACTCTATGCCAGTATCTCTTCAACCTTCCACACCAACTTTTTTCTGAACTGTTATTCTAGCCTGAATTTGTGTTAAATTGCAATGTTCACAGCCAATCAGGATACTTCATTGGAATTGAGATGCTCCAAGGAGGTTGCATCATAAGTAGTAAGGAATACCCAGAATAAGCAGAGCACATTCCAGGGGTTCATATGCAATTTATGACTATCAAGGTATACTTAAACAGTCATCCATATTTAGTTTTCATGCTGACTGAGGACTCTGCAACCAG